TCGGGACGTGCTGAATGTGCCAATTTCTATTGTTGCATCGGAGAGTGCATTTAGCCAAGCAAGACAACAACTTGGAGACACCCGTCACTCTTTGGGAAGCAATGTTTTGGAAGTTTTAGTATGTTTCAGAGATTGGATTAGATCGGAACGAAGAAATCAAGGACGTGAAGATGTTGATAGCCCAGAAGACGAGGAACTTGGAGATATATTAACACATGGTAACCCATCCGAATTTAACACTCCAGAAGAAGGTCAATCAGTTCATATTGATTATGAAGTACTAAGGCAATGCAAAACCTTTGAATTACTTGTTGTTAAAAATGTAAATCTTTCAATTTGTAAGTTTAAATTATGAAATAAATGTAGCACTTGCAACAAGTGCATTTTTTTCTCATCTTCCTTGTATTTTTTATGTTAATACTTTGTACTAATATAACCTACAATAGTTATACAAAATTCCAAAAAAAAAATTAAAAATACACTAAACCCGGCCCGGCCCGGCCCCCTCAACCCGTAACCCTTACGGTTCAATTTTTACCCGGTTGAACCCGAACCCGTTAAACCCGTTAAGAACCAACCCGGAACCGGCCCGGACCGTAACCCGTATGGGTCCAAAAAATAGCGGCCCGGCCCGGCCCACCCGTTTAACACCTATAATGTAAACTCCCACTGTTAAGAAAAATAATTTTACTTTAATTAATCATCAAATTATGTAAAACAACCCAGTATAATTGCATGTGTTTGAAAAGGCATACTTCATGACAAGCAAGGAAAGCACTCCTTGGGCATTAACTTTCAAATGACTGGATACTCAAGGCAATTCTCAGCGTGTCAGCAGGTTTTACAGTCCAAAATTGAAAAAAGAACGTAAAAAAGAAGAAAAATGAATTTGTCATTAATATCGTGCAGTAGAACCCTGAGCCAAGCTAAATTAAATTTTGTTTCTCCTTTTTCTTCTCTTCTCCCTGGTTTTCCTCTTTCCTTTCTTTCCCTAATCTATTAGTGGTAAGAACAGCAAGTGAAGAGATCTTACTTATCAAGAAAAAGCGAACAGAAAGTGAAGAGAAGATAAATTAACAATCAAAGCAAGATAACAAAGAAAGACCAAGAGATGAGATGCAATGCTGAAAGGCAAACCCCAAATTCAGATAGGACATGCACTGCTATGATATCTTTTGGCAGTGGCATGGCATCTAGTACTAGTGAAGCTCTTCTTTTCCTATGCTACTAAGAAAATTATTATGGTTTATTTCATTAAAAAGAAAATTTTCGCTACTGTATGTCTTTCATGCTTATCAATGTTATCATGTCCACAGATAATACCCTCATTTTTCCATTGGATTCTGAAAATCGGGTTCAAAAAGTGATCTGATTTGAGAACGTAAGGATAAAAAGAAATAGAAGATAAAAAGAGACTCAATTTTGCTATCTAGATGTGTCCTAGACCATCACTACAGCAGTGAGGTGTGACCCTAATTTATATGAGTAATGTTAGTATTGACTAATGGATTGAAGGCAACTGACATAAAATCTAGTAATTTAGGAAACAGAATCAGAGTAGTATTCTTTAATCTGTTGCATCTGTATCAACGCCAATAATCAACTCATTCATTGGTAATAACAAGGAGAATATGTAGAGAGAGAGAGAGAGACTAAATTATGCAACAAAACAGACAATTCTTAAGCATACTTGTGCTTCTTTCAAGTGATGAAGGATCACTGAGGCTTTGGATTTACGAAAAAATAAGCGCTGCTTTAATTAATAGAATATGCCAGATAAAAAGGGTTGACAAAGGAATCGGTGATACGGGATGTACTTGAATGTACTGACCTTCAAACAAGTCCAACCACCAAACCAACGACTTTCGAATCTTTTGGGAACTACTTTAAGTAATTCATCACCTTCTCCTGTAAGGATGAAATGCATAATCAGATATGAACACGCTTCCAATGGAATGCAAAGGAAGCAACGAAAAATATGTTACCTGCAACATTATAGTTCTTAACAGAGGGTGAATCCATAGATGCTTGAATTGCATGTCTTTCCAAGACAGGAAAATTGACAATCTACATAACAAGATAATATCAATGCCCAAACTAATTCATAGCTAAAAAGTAAGAAAATCAACCAAGTAAAATGAAACGGAACAATCATTGATATGGAAAACTACATGAAGATAGGAAACTCTCCTTACGGCAGTGTGATTAATTATTTACTAGCATATTCAGGTCAGTTTGCCAAAATTCAGGTATGTTCTATCTTTATTAAGTAGTTTCCCATTTTTGTCACTGCTGAAGCTGAACCAATAGGGGTTACCTGGTTCAAACTATCTGACAAGTGATCATTCCCACGTGCCATAGGGGTGATCTCTAAACCCAAATGCTGATCCCTAGTTAGCTTTCTCTGCCCATCATTGCTAAAAGATCCAAATCTTTCATCCTCTTTCAACTGGAACTCACTCTCAATATCTTTTAAGTATGGCTTAATAAAGCCATCTCCTGGCTGAAGAATGTCTATTCCATGAGGAACTGCTCCTTCGTCTCCGAATTCTCCATTACGTCTTTGATTTTGTGAGGCAAGAGTATCTTTAACATAAGACACATTTAAGTCGTGGAAATGCAGATCAGCAGAATCACTAGCAGATAGCCCCACATCTTGAAATGCAGCTTCCATTCTCAAATCTTCTGAGTCTGAAAGAAAATCAATTTCAGATGTCTCCTCAGTATCACAATGACAGCTTTCATGACTCTCATTCCAAGCTTCCAGCCGTGCTTGTTTCACCTGGAGTGCAGCTTCCAACACAGTTGAAGCCGGAATTCTTTTTGAAAATGATTCAGTTTTGAACACCTCATGAATAACCAGTGCTTCAGATGCAGCAATCGACAATTCAACTGCATCATCCGTGTGATTGACTTCGCATAAGCTGACATTTCCCCCTTGCCCATCCCCTTTGTTCATATCATTAGATCCATTGCCTAATGCAGCAAAGTTGTCCACTTTCAATTCCTTAGCCTTCCCTTCAGGAATAATCGGGATTTGAACACACTGAACTGACAGAGCATGATTGGACTGAGTCCTTTCTGCTTCTGCTTCAGATATATTTTCAAGTGTACTTGGCAGGTTCTTTGAGCTACAATCCAATGACAGATGAAGATGAAATTGAACCACCTTAAAAAACAAAGTAACATAGAGCTAGTTAAGGACTGGATTGGTAACACGTTGGATTAAGCATCATGCAAGTGGTGCCAAAAACCAATTCTGCAACATTCACTATCTTGTTTATTTGAAGAGAGAAGGAGAATATGAATCAATCTAATAATCTAACTCAACCACAAATTGCAGACTAGTTTGGTCGCCTATATCAATACTCTATATCCATTCCACTCCAGTTGTGGCCAATTTGGTTTCCGATTGTAAGACAAATTGGGAGGTCTCTAAAACTAACACCATGAAATAACTCACATTAAATGCAAAGAACTTTCGAGCAATTTATTAAAATCAAGAGTTCCCTGCAGCTTACATTATCAATTGATTGAACCAAACTGAGTGGTGAACTATCATCTCCGGATAAGAATAGATGGCAACTCTTATATCCACCTTCTTGTGTTGTTTGTGGATGGGACGCTACTGCATTATGTTGCTGGATCAATTCCTACAAATAGACCAAGGAGCCAGTTGATTTTTCCTGTGGCACACAAGTCTTATTTGGGAAAATTAGAAATTTGTAGACCATGTAAAAAATATGAAGTGACAACTAATGATACACTTCTAGTAAATTTGTAAGCAAATAATCAATTTGTCTTACCTCACAACATGATTATTAGAGCAAACAAGATCAAAACCATCAGCTTAATATTGAAACTTATTGCACCTCACTTTTGCACCTTTCTTTCTTTCACGTTGGTTCATCATTTAGTTTACAGTGCAATACATGATGCTGATAAAGGTACTACATCTACATTTTTCTCCATGTTTATGCATTAGTTATATGGTACAAGCTAAAAGCTTTAGTATTGTTCCAACCATCTTAAGTTCTCAGTAATATAAAAATCTAACCCAAAATATTACATTTCAGGCAGTGCATTGTTCTTCTAGATGGCAAGCTCAGCTCGTGAACTTTTATCAAAATAATACTTTGTATCATTTTCACAAGATATATATATATATATATATATATATATAT